CTGAGAGTTGTGGTGATTTATTGAAATACCCCAAAAAACACCAGTCTTCAACGCTTGTGACTGGTGAAAGGGCCCAGTCGCAAGTGAGTTAAGCGAACCGGGATCGTAAGCGGTGGGATCTTAGGCGGAGACTACTGTATTATTCTTCGATGAAGGCATCTAAAATGAACGCCAATAAATGCAACTTTCATTTCTGAACACAAACATACCAACAGTTTTGAAGTGGGTGTAGAAGATTGAAAGTTATATAGACTTTTGTAACCCCCCCTACTGCTGTACAAGATCAGTCCCTGAGAGGCTTCCGTCAGAACGAAAATCCTCTACGCACATGAAGAGTTAATAGGTTGTTTTTTTAATTTGATGGTTTATAATGGAACTTTATTTACACTACGCCGAATTGCGTAGTAATTTCTGCGCTTTGAATCAATCGGGAGGTGTTGCCTCCCTGAAGTAAGAAAGAGATCTGGGGGGTTAAAAGGGGCGCCCCCTGTTTTAACAACTTATAATTTCATGTTTTGCTTTAGGTTTTAAATTTTCTTGAAAATAATTGATTTGCGACAGTTCTAGTGGCTATATATATGTGATCTGCAGCAAATAATACTTGGCCCTCAAAGCAGGGCATCTGTGTGCCGGAGTGAAAGTAAAAATTTACCAAACCTCAGCACAAGGAAGGCATATATTCATCATTTTGGGTAAAGACAAACATGAGAGTGTATCGTATGTCTGACCTGCCCTGCGCTGTTCTTTATCTTCCCCTCTTTTTACTCTGGAGGTGGCTATTCTCACCCGGGGTGAGAATAGAAATACGATCGACCTCTCACCCCGGGTGAGACTTGCCACCGTAGGCTATTTTCACCCGGTGTGAAACAAGACCTGTTTTTCCTAATTTCGGAATACTTTCTATCGATGTGGATGATCAAATGGATGATAAAGGCAAAGAAAAGATTACGTTATAGCACAAAAGTAAGCTAATTTTATCGACTACAAAGATGCTATGGCTATTTCACTTTTCGAATCGAGCCGAACTATGGGGGTCGCCATTTTGTTTCTACTCCTCCCCTCTTCTCTCTCTCTATCTCTTTCTGAATACTGTCTCTCGGTGTGGACGATCAAATTGACCAAAACAAAGTTAAAAAATGATGTTAAAACACAAAAGTAAATTAATTTGGTCGTCTACAAAGATGCTACGGCTACTTAACTTTTCGAATCGAGCAGAACTACGCGGGTCGCCATTTTGTTTTGCCCGGAAGTTCTCGCTCGTGCTACTCCTCTCTCTCTCTCTTTCTCTCTCTCTACTCTCTCTCTCCACTGCCCACAGACAAAATTGTACGCTTTTAGTAGGCTAACAGTAGTAATGGAACGTTTGTTCACGGCACTGAATTCTACAATTTTTCTGTTACCACAGAGTAGAATTCTATGGTTTAGGGTGAACGCAAAATTTGTTGGCCTAGATCTAGGCTATAACGGTGAGAACGCGCACCGGGTGAGAATGGCTGTCGTTATTCGGACTCGAGTCCGAATAAAGGAAGTGTCTTCGTTCTATAGATCTAACGTTCAGTGCTTCCAATTTTCCGCCATTTTTTAGTTTCCCCCACACCTTATCTGCCGATCCAATACCCGCCGCCTCATTGATACGCCCCCCCCCCACGTTTCCCACTTTCTTTGTTGTAGAAAAAGGTCAAATTGAAGATTAGCAGACCACCTGGCACCTGCATATTATGAGCTGTGTAAAAAAAATAAAAGACCGATTCGTTCAAATACACAAGCCTGTGTCATATCGATTGTTTACCAAGAAAAAGTTGTGTTGCTGTGTAGAGCTGAGCATACGGCAACTTTTGATTCCATAGACCAGCACACAATTCATTACGTATTCATTACGTAGATCTACGTCAAGACTAGCTTATTATTGTAATAATGATCAGTTGCTGGGGGGGGGGGGGGGGGAAGACTGACGCGTATGCGACGTTCAAAGCACGGACCGATAGTGCCCCCCCACCACCCTCCCCGACACGCACACAGCCACACGTGTGCAGGCCGCCCATCCGACCCGACACACGCTAACGAACCATCTTTAATTGCTTCTGATGACCTCTTGACAAATAAACATTTATTAGAAGCGCTATAACTTTTAAGGCCGGCCTCAAATTAATCATAAGATTAAAACTCGGCTCCTGCACAAAACGCCTTTTTGCCCGAAGTGATCCCGGTCTCTACCCAGCCTGAGGCGAGTCACGAGTGAGGCAGGACAGGAAGCCGGATTCATGAGTCACAGGAAGTCGGAAGTGATGTCATGCTGGACAAGAATCAGAGTCCGAATAACATTTTTTCATATTCGGACTCGAGTCCGAATAATCACTTCGGGTGAGAATAGCCAAAAGATTCGCCTGCACTATTCCCGGGTGAGAATAGAGGTGGCCTTTTACTCTGAGAAGCTGGCATGAATTTGGCTAGAAAGGCTAAACTTACCCCACCCCACCCTTTCCCTCTACCCCCACTGCCACCAGGAAATTATTGGGATTTGGATTTCATTCATTTCATTCAAATTCATGCATGGATCATGCTCACACTCATGTCTCATTCACTGGCTCAAAACGCTCTTCTGAACTTAAACCGCAGTACGTTAGCCCGTTAGTTTTAAGTAAGAATAAAACCTTTCAAAGAAATTAATATTTCTGCGCTGGGGGACAAAATGCAAGGAGAATTTGACATATTTTTATCCATATACCCAAAATGCCCAGTGCACATGAACTCTGTGCTGTTTAGTAGGCTAACTGTTGTAAGACACACAAGGAGGCATCTCCGTGGTCTCTGCGGTTGAAGTACTGTTTGTTTACCTTTTTATGTCTACGGCCTACGGTTTCCGCTTCTGCCGCAGTTGCCCAGATTTACTCTTCTTATCCAGATTTACTCCAAAATCTCTGTCAAACGGTCTAAGCCTAAATTACAGAGCGCCGGGTCGCGTGCGCGAGTGTTGGGGAAAGAAAGGGAGTCGGGCAAGCAAGGACTCAGGAGGTTATACAGTTATGTAAGGTCTTTGGAGTGGGGACATGTCTTGGACACACACACACACACACACACACACACACACACACACACACAAACACACACGCACGCACGCAGGATCGCGCGCGCGCGCCCGCGCGCGCACACAAATTTTACAGCACAGATGCCCCCCCCCCTCTCTCTCTCTCTCTCTCTCTCTGTAGGCCTAGTCCGGACATAAATTTATTGTTTGGACACCTCTTAAAAATGCATACATAGGTCTACATGTTTTTCTTTTCTGAACTCTCAGTACCGTAATACAAAAAGTGTGAGTGTGTGCGCGTGCGATGTGCGCGCGGTGTGTGTGTGTGTGTGTGTGTGTGTGTGTGTGTGTGTGTGTGTGTGTGTGTGTGTGTTTAAGAGAGAGAGAGAGAGAGAGAGAGAGAGAGAGAGAGAGAGAGAGAGAGAGAGAGAGAAAGAGAGAGAGAGAGATTTGTTTGTTCTTTGGTTAGTGTTTTACGGCGCTCGCAACTGCATAATAATATATTATTATATTATATTTTATATGAGCGCTCGGGACAAATTAAACATTTATTTCAGTTGGTTGAAAATGTTTTAATTTAGCTCAGGTGGCCGCCGAATCCTACTCTTAACGATTTTGGACCACTATTAAAAAGGGAGTAGCAGTAGAAAGGCTGCTGAAAGAGTCAACTTTTTCATTGAATGAAAATTAATTAGAGAAATTTGGAGGTGAAACGGCTTCGTCCCCACCATCCAGAAGAATTTAAACAAAGAGATGGAAGACAAAGGTGACTCGCCTAGTTTGAATGCTTCTCAAAATGTCGTGGCTCGCCATGAGTATAAAAATTATCACTGTTTTGTTCTTATTGCTTGCTATTTGGTGGTAAAGCAACCTAAATACGGCCCACCCAAATTTAGGTCCACCCACCGCCACTGAACGCATATTATTATATCACAGGTGTCGAACTCAAGGCCTGTGGGCTACATCGCCTGCCCAGAATACAATCTTAGCTGGCCAGCGAAATAATTTTTGGCAAAGGCCCGGTGATATGATATGAAGTTTAATATTTATGGCTCTGAGAAATTCCCGATCAGACTCGTGAACGTGTCCAACAGAAAGGTGATTCTGAAAACAGAACCTTTCAAAGCTGCTGGGACACACTGATGTGGGAGCAGAGGCGAAGCGTCTATATAATCAAATAATCACTGCTTCCCTTCCTAATTTTGAAACATTGTCGCAGTCAAATTCACCCATAAACGTAAACTTCATAAATTAAATGTAAAAAGACGTTCATAATCAACAATGAACAGTATGCCTAACATTCTAAACGGTTTCATTGCCACAGAAATAGCCTGTTCATCCCTCTTGGGCCACTCCATAAGCAGTCACAAGCTTTGATTAAGTAAGCTTAAAGTGAGACTGGAAGAGTCTACCAACAGAATTGAAGGGAACATGTGCATGGCAGTCAAAACTGTTTCATTGCCGGCCACATATACCCTGTTCACCCCTTTCGGGCCACAGTTAAAATCAGTCTCAAGCACTGATTACGTAAGCTAACTATTACACTGGTCGAGTCTACCTCACAGATGAGAGGGGAACTAACACCTAATAATCTCTCGACTGCTTCGAGTGCTTGTTTTTTTTTCCTCGACTTTTTACTGCCCTATAATCAGATCGTGACCTCGATTATGACACAGGCTCGTGGCCGCGAAAGGCTAGACAAAAAACAGCCAAATGTGAAATTTAAAAAATGATAATTGTCATGTTCTACCAAAGAGTTAGAGACTCCCTGGTAGATCTATAACAATTAGATCTAGTACTGACATCTCTGCTTCTTTGCTTTGTGTTTGTGTATTCACATCTAAAGTTAAATTTAATTTTAATTGGAATTGATATTTAATGAGATACTTTCCCGATTATTTTGGCGGTTGAACATACAATAATGAATTCCGGATTTGTTTTCATTCACAACTCTGAGTCGCCGCATCGAGCAAGGTTCTTGTGTGATATCCCCAGGCCATATCGGGTCCAGTTTCACTTTGATTACCCTGTCAAACAAGTCAGCCTTCGCCCCTGTGTGGGAGACAAGTCGTTGGACGAGCGGACAGTAGGAGATCTTCAGAGGAAGAACCCACCAAGTTCAAGCAAATGTTTCGGCCCTAATTAACTTTCTGACACTCTACTAAGTGGGGCAGGGTCACACTCAGGTCATGACTCCCAAGTGCTCTCCTGCTGTTGTTGTTTTTTTTCTTGTCGCTGAACTGATCGAGGATCGAGCATAAGCTCCTGGGACACTGATAATACAATAATACACATAA